AAAGAAAGGATCTTGGTGTAATAGTTGATCAGTCTCTAAAGCAATCCAAGCAGTGTGCTATTACTAGTGGTAGGGCAAATAGGATTTTAGGCTGTATATACAGAAATATTGAATACAAGTCTAAATAGATTATAATTTCATTGTATAGGTCACTGGTTAGGCCACATTTGGAATATTGTGTTCAGTCTTGGGCTCCTTACATTAGAAAAGACATTGAATTGTTGGATAGGGTTCAGAGAAGGGTTACTAGAATGGTGCCTGGGATGGAGGGGTTGTTATAGAGGAGAGGCTGAAACCTCTTAAATTGTTTTCTCTTGAAAAAGAAAAGTTAGGAGGATCTGATTGAGGTGTTTAAGATTGTAAAAAGAACTTATAGTGTTAATGCATCATTTTTTTTTCATATTCAACAGTGAGAATAGTAGGAATAGGGGACACAAATATAAATTTTGGCAAAGTAGGAATCATCTTCAGTTAAATCTTTCGATACGAGGTTGGTCGATTTGACCGAGTCACATGACCTTCTGTACTCGTTTAAAGTTGACACCAATTTAATACTTATAACTTTCTATATATTGGGTATATCTTCACAAAATTTGGCAGTCTTTCAATTAATATTACAAGTCTTTCACATACAAAAAGTCATATTTCTTAGTGAAGTACTTTTAATAAAATAAAATAAAGTTTTGTCCATGAATATATTGAGTATTTGTTTTGAATAGCCCATGTGCAAAGTAATTTTTATGTTAAAATTAAAAATCCTTTTCTTCATCTCAAAAATCTCAAATTTCCTTTGTGTAATCCCTGAAACCTCCTAAATGCATTTCAAACGTTTTTTCTTCACTAAATCCTTATAGTTTATATGTTATTTTCTCTACCATAATCTCAAAACTGTATTGGTCAAATCGACCGACCTCATAACCATCAAAAAAAAAATCGAAATAAACATAAATTATCCTTCTTTTTTTTCTAGTATGACTTCAGATTGTAACCTGAAACTATATTTGTTTATCCTAAGTAGCTCTAAGTTCGTAACATTATACATCTATTTATAATTAAATATTATTGCCCTTTATATTGCCCATTGAACCGTGTCTAACTGCTATCCACGCCATTATAAGTTGTAAATCACTCGGGGAATGTGCAGCTCATGTTACACTATCAAATTACATTACCAACGAGCTACTCGCGTGCATGCTCCGTGAACAATTTTAATTATATTATTATTATTGTTATTACTTATTTTACTTATTCTATTCTTAAATAACTGAAAAAGATCCATACTGTTAAGTTTAGTTACTTTTATAATAATAAATAAAGAATAAATATGAAAAACAAG